CACGTCCACCCTGTGTGGGCCGAGCTGACCCCCAGCAGTGCCCACGTCCACCCCCTGTAGGCCATGCTGACCCCGCTGACCCCCAGCAGTGCCCACGTCCACCCCGTGTGGGCCCAGCTGACCCCCAGCAGTGCCCACGTCCACCCTGTGTGGGCCGAGCTGACCCCGCTGACCCCCAGCAGTGCCCACGTCCACCCCCTGTGGGCCATGCTGACCCCGCTGACCCCCAGCAGTGCCCATGTCCACCCCGTTGCTCCTGACTGATCTAAAGATGCCTCTGAACGGCCGAATAAGGGGTTCTTGATACCATGATAGTTATCGAGTCCTTGCCAGCGTCCATCGGCTTGTGGTTGTGCTGCCCGTGCTGCGGCCGAGTCTCAGGGCATCCCAGGATGCTGGTCCCACGGCCGGACTCTCGCCTGCACCCATTTATTGAAAGGCTCAAAATGGGTGAGCCCAGCAGGGGGAAGGGACAGCTCCACCTCCCTCTTCTCAGCAGCAATGCCCACTCAGGGCCGCTGGCAGAGCTTCCCAGGGTGGTCCTCCCTGAGTGTTCCCAGGGCTCACAGCTGGCCGGCTGGCAGGGCTCCCCAGGGCTAGGCTTGGTGGACTGACTACCATTGCTTTAGCTCACAGGGCAGAGCCCTGCTGTACAAAGCCACCATTGCACAACTAACGTTTTATGGTTCCCCTAGAATGTCAGAGGGTTTCTGTTTCACTGAGCAGCTTTCCATCTTCTGAACACACATTACCACCGTGCACTTTGCCAGGCTCTGGGCAGTGTCAAATAACCAAAGAAATGGAGAAAGACTTCACACATGGCATTTTTAAAGGCCGTAACCCACGCAGCACAGCGAGAGACGCGCACACGGATGTCTCTTACCTCGGAGGACTCGGCTGGCTGTGTCTCCACCGAGGTCTGGTCCCCTCTGACCTGCAGGAGCGGAGAGAGAAGAGAACCATGAGTCTCGGGCGCCGCGCAGGACCCAGACCTCCAGAGAGACAATGCTGTGGACACCAACCAGGCCTGCACGCCTTTTGCTTCTGAACATAAATCTCCACATGGCTTCAGGGAACTGGAGGAGTTTCTCTAGCTGGCAGGAAGCTCTTTAGAGAAGACCCAAAGAAGGGAACTTGCCACTTTTGTGCAACTTTTATAATTCGACGAAGGGAAGTGTGTCTCCATCACTGATCTCTAACTGCAACGGACACCGGTCACTTGTGCAGGCTTGGTGGCTGCAGGGCATGCTGAGCACGCTGCACCATTCCCCCCCCAGGGTCCCCCATGGCACCTGGGATTTCTGTAGCCACTCGAACCCCCAAGTTTAACCTTCACTGCAGCATGCAAGCACGCACTGGGTTGGAATTCTAGTTGTGCCTAGCCGTCAAGGCCCACGCTGAGGAACACGCCGTCCAGGACTCCGTGTTCAGTTCCCAGCCCCTCTGGCCCAGGGGCTTGGAGCAGCCGGGAGACTGTCTCCCCGTGTGCTGTGACCCTGGAGGTCGGAAGCCACACCCCTCCCCATCCTCTGGCACACACTTTCAGGGCTAGCGTGGCTGTCGCTTTTACACCACCCAGGGCTTTCCCCAGCATGTCTTTCCTGTGTTCCTAGGCTCAGACCCATCAATGAAACAGAAAAATGCCCAAATTCAAACTCATCTCCCTTGCACCCCGTGAACAGCCATCATTCAAATGCCAGAAGCAGAGGGTTAGGGTGACCGTCCGAATGGAAGACAGTCAAAGGGGATCCAGGGCCCTGGCTGCTCTGAACTGCGACAAGTCACCAACATCACAAACTTTGGGGTGTGTCCTCCTGGCAGGAGAGAGAACCATGCATTGGTGGTTTTTAGCCCAATGCTGAACCTCGTGCACACCCAGTGCTGCTGGGTTATCACCCCTCTCTGGCGTCCACACGTTCCCTAGTTCCTGGGCCCGGCCGATGGCTCTCCCACTGGGAACAGCTGGGAGCTGTACGGCTTCCCTCTGGGCACAGAATCTTGGCCCAGGAGCCCTGGGATGCAAATGAAACTACGTGATGTTGAATCCCATCTGCCCAGGAGAGACCATAGATGGTTTTGGAAACGTTCACACCAGACTGGAGAGTCCATTCTATACCCAGCAGCAGCTGAACCTTAGTTTATTTATTTATTATTTTGCCAGTCTTAGGGCTTGAACTCTGGGCTTGGGTGATGTCCCTAAGACTTGGTGCTCTAGGCTAGAGCTCTACCACTTGAGCCACAGTTCCACGTCCAGACGTTTGTGGTTGATTAGAGATAGGAGTCTCATAGACTTTCCTTTCTGGGCTGGCTTTGAACCACGATCCTCAGATACCAGTATCCTGAGTAGCTAAGATTACAAGTGTGAGTCACCAGCACCTGGCTTTGGATTTTATTTATTATGGAGATATATAAATTATTTTGTATAATTGGGCCACATAATCAATTTCAAGATTCTGTCATTTTGAACTTTCTTGGAAATTACCAAGCTATTGTCAATGTTGGGTATCCTGGCAGTTTAGGGGTCAGGGTCGGTTCTTAAAGGCCCTTGATGGTTCTGAACCCCACACTGGGCCTCTCCTCTCAAATGTGCACAGCCCCTCCCCAGGGTACGAAGGATCCAGTCAGTCACCAGAGCACCATCCAAGTGTGGCTTTTGAATTTCCAATCTGTGCCACTAGGTGGCAGCAGACGACACAAGACAATACTTCCAGCCAGCAGTTGAAATCCTGGAAATGTGTTATTAAGCATGAAAGGCAGGCTTGCATTTCCTTTCTGGCTAAGGAAATCTCTTCAAATATTTATTGGCCATTTGTTCATAGCTTTTTTTTTTTGCCAATACTGGGGCTTTAACTCAAGGCCTGGGCTTCTTTTGCTCAAGGCTATCACTCTACCACTTGAGCCACAGCAACACTTCCAGATTTTAGTGAGGAATCGAACTCAGGGCTTCATGAATGCTAGTCCAGCACTCTACCACTAAGCTACCTTCCCAGCCCAGTACATAGCTTCTTGAGAACATGTTCAATGTATTGATTTCTGCTCCATTTACAATTTTTTTAATGCTTAGCATTATGTTTTTGTTGTTGTTGTTTTAACTCTGTGTATCCTGGATTTTAATCCCATCAGACAAATAGTTGATAGTTCTCCATGTTCTATGCATTGTCTCTTTACTCTGGGGAATGTTTCTGTGCTGTGCAGAGCTCACAGTACCCAAGCCATGGACTCAGCACAGGTAGCCCTCAGTATGAACATATCAGGAAAATGTGGAATACATACACAATGGAGTATTGATTATTCCACCACCGAAGAGAACAAAATGATTTCATTTACAGAACACAGATGGAAGTTGGGATCATCTCGTAAGTGACACAAGCTAGGGTCAAAAAGATATCACATGTTTTCTCTCGTGGGCAGAATCTAGATTTAAAAGACATGAAAGCAGGGGAACAAATGATGTGTGGTTTAAAAATGTCACAATAAAAGCCACTGTTCTGTAAAATTAATGATAAAATAGAAATTTTCCAACCCATGGAAATGCTACCATACATGCTTATAGTCCTATGTATAATGATCTTAATAATTTAGCTCTAAAAAAACCCCAGATTGTGCCTTTTGTAGCCATGTATGCTCGTTGGGCCTGGGCAGGGCTCAGCAAGGGCCCACTCTCGTGTGCACAGGAGCTGGGGTCTAATCCCGGCTCTGTAGAACACACATCTCGATGGTCAACTTGGTGGGTGGAGGCTCTCCCAGAAGATGCTCTCCCAGGCGCCCGTTCTGGGGAGTCTCTGAGCCACTGTCTCGGCAGACTGGGTGGCAAGGCCCCACAGCAGTCCTCGGGGCATGGAAAGCAGAAATGCCATTGGAATTTCCAGAGGAAGAAAGGAGCTTGGAAAACACGAGGCTGAGAGAGCAGAGCTGTGATCCAACTGGCGGGCATGCCTGGCCTGCACGCCTGACCTGCCCGCCTGACCTGCACACCTGGCCTGCACACCTGGCCTGCCCACATGACCTGCACACATTACCTGCACACATGGCCTGCACACCTGGCCTGCCCACCTGACCTGCCCGCCTGACCTGCACACCTGAGCTGCACATATGACCTGCACACATGACCTGCATGCCTGACCTGCACACCTGGCCTGCACACCTGGCCTGCACACATGGCCTGTACACATGGCCTGTACACATGACCTGCATGCCTGACCTGCACACATGACCTGCACGCATGACCTGCATGCCTGACCTGCACACATGGCCTACATGCCTGACCTATGTGTCTGACATGCACACATGGCCTGCACACATGACCTGCACACGTGACCTGCACACGTGACCTGTACACATGACCTTCACACCTAGCCTGCACACTTGACATGCACACATGCCTGGCACATGGCCTGCACACCTGACCTGCACATCTAGGCTGCATGCTTAACTTGCACACCTGGCCTGCCCGCCTGACCTGCACACCTGGCCTACCCACCTGGCCTGCACACCTGGCCTGCACACCCGGCCTACCCACCTGGCCTGCCCGCCTGACCTGCACACCTGGCCTGCCCACCTGACCTGCCCACCTGACCTGCACACCTGGCCTGCACACCTGACCTGCACACATGACCTGCACACCTGACTTGCCCGCCTGACCTGCACACCTGGCCTGCCCACCTGACCTGCACACCTGACCTGCATGCTTGAGCTGCACACGTGACCTGCACACGTGACCTGCACACATGACCTGCACGCCTGAGCTGCACACCTGGCCTGCACACATGGCCTGCACACCTGACCTGCACACATGACCTGCACGCCTGACCTGCACGCCTGGCCTGCACACATGACCTGCACACCTGACCTGCACACATGACCTGCATGCCTGACCTGCCCACCTGACCTGCACACCTGACCTGCACACCTGGCCTGGACACCTGACCTGCACACCTGACCTGCACACCTGGCCTGCCCACCTGACCTACACTCCTGGCCTGCACACCTGACCTGCATACCTGCACACCTGACCTGCACATCTGACCTACACTCCTGGCCTGCACACCTGACCTGCACACCTGGTCTGCCCACCTGACCTACACTCCTGGCCTGCACACCTGGCCTGCCCACCTGGCCTGCACACGTGACCTGCACACATGACCTGCATGCCTGAGCTGCACACCTGGCCTGCACACCTGACCTGCACACCTGACCTACACTCCTGGCCTGCATACCTGGTCTGCACACGTGACCTACACTCCTGGCCTGCCCACCTGACCTGCACACGTGACCTGCACACATGACCTGCACGCCTGAGCTGCACACCTGGCCTGCACACCTGACCTGCACACCTGATCTACACTCCTGGCCTGAACACCTGGTCTGCACACGTGACCTACACTCCTGGCCTGCACACCTGGCCTGCCCACCTGACCTGTACACGTGACCTGCACACATGATCTGCACGCCTGAGCTGCACACCTGGCCTGCACACATGGCCTGCACACCTGGCCTGCACACATGGCCTACACACATGACCTGCATGCCTGAGCTGCACACGTGACCTGCACACATGACCTGCACACATGACCTGCACGCCTGACCTGCACATGTGGCATGCACACCTGATCTGCACACATGACCTGCACACCTGATCTGCACACATGACCTGCACACATGACCTGCACGCCTGACCTGCACACGTGGCCTGTGTACTTGGCCCTCACCTCTGGCCCTGCTGCATGAGCTCACCGCAGCATGGAGAGCCGGGCTCTGGGACGGGGGACGGGGCCTCTGATACACCGATGTCAGCACAGGAAACATAAGACAGGACCGTCTTCTGATGTCTGAAAGTGCTCTGCTCTGGGGCTGAAGTTCAGGCCCCAAAGCGATCTGAGTGCTCAGCTCATCTTTGTACAGACCGGGGCGGGGGGGCAGCCCTTGCTGGATGGCGCTGGATCCGGAGGTGATATCTTCCCACTGCTGGGTGAATAAAGATGCAACCCTCTGCATAAATGTGTGCTGGGCTAGCGAAGAGCTTCACACTACACTGTTTTCTTGTTCTATCTGGTGCTCTGCTCCTTGAGCCATGCCTCTATCTGGCACTTGGCGAGTTGTTTCGGAGTCTTGCAAACCTTTCTGCTTCACACTACAGTCTTCCAGCTCCCAGCCTCCTGGGGAGCTGGGACAGCAATCGCTAGTCGTTGCCTCCTTGGCCCCATTTTACTACTTCTTTTTTATTTGTCGGTGGTGGGGCTTGAACTCAAGGCCTAGGCACTGTCCCTGACCTTTTCTGCTCAAGGCTAGTGCTCTATCATTTTGAGCCACAGCACCACTTCCAGTTTTCTGGTGATTAATTCGAGATAAGAGTCTCACAGACTGTCCTGCCCAGGCTGGCTCTGAACCGTGATCCTCAGATCTCAGCCTTCTGAGTAGCTGGAATTACAGACATGAGCCACCAATGCCCAACTGCTCCGTTTTACTTCTTATATTTATCAGTTACAATAGTTTGTTTTAATTACCCATCTGCATAGTGATAATAATGATAGCAAGGAAAAAATACTTAGACACTTGGGATTACACTTAAGATTAATTTCAGTCCATAAACATTTTACTGCAATATAACAGTAATAAATGTAATACCTTTATGTTTAAAAAAAGACATATCTACCACCCCAGCAGAATGCTCTAAGGGGTAGGTATAATGGGAAAGTGACCAGCAGAGCCTCAAAGAATAATTTGCCTGCTCAGGGAAAAGCATGTTCATGTGTTTTTGAAGAATGACGGATGGCAGGTTGTCAGGTTGCCATGGTGATGAGATTTCCTGTAAACACGAGGAATGAATGACACAGGGTTTTATTTTAAATGTCAGTGTTTGTTAAATGCACAAAGACGTAGCCCGGTACCTGGTGAAAGAAACGACTTCTAGATGTGTGATCTTGGCCAGTGGATTCTAAGAGTGTCCCACCTGCCGGCCCACCGGCCAGCGGTCCCAGGGACAGTCCAGGGGACAGTCCTCACCCCACCTCTGCCGTTCACACCACCACTGAGAAACGGCAAGGGCGAGATGTCCTCATTTACATAAAATGTAGAAAATTGCTCCTAAGCTTTCCCTCAACGTCCGCTCTGACCGCTCCCTGCGGGGGAGCGGAGAGGCCGGCGTGGCCCGAGGCGTGTGAGGGCCGCAGCACTGCGCCCTCTCCCGCCTGCGTGGACCCGCCCCGCGCCGAGCGCTTGCTCAGCTCCTCCACCCGCTCCGTGCCCCCCGGCGACAGCGCTTAAATCAGAACCTATAAAAACCCCTTGGCTCCATGGCTTTTGAGCTGTCAGGTTTTGAAAGTGCCTGGGAGTGTCGTCGTTGACTTTCTTCATCCATTTTTGAAAGCCAAGCAATACAGTGTAAAAGAATAAATACCCCCGGCACCGGCAGCTCACGCCTGACACCTTAGCTCAGGAGGCTGAGATCTGAGGGTCGCGGTTCAAAGCCAGCCCGGGCAGGAAAGGCCATGAGACTCTTATCTCCACTAAACCACTAGAAAACCAGAAATGGCGCTGTGGCTCAAGTGATAGAGCCCTTGCCTGGAGCTGAAGAGCTGAGGGATGGCACCCAGGCCCAGAGTTCAAGCCCCATGATAGACCAAAAAAAAAAGAATACAATTAAAAGAGTTATATTTGGTTACATATGTGATTATAGCTAAAACTAATCTTAAATTACAATGATAGCATAATCATAAATCGATGAGGATGAGTTCATAACCCTACACTCATGCTCAGGGCCACACAAAGAGAGCTCGGGGTGCGGCCTCCTGGGTACGCGCCACAGAACCCGTGTGCGGACGGTGCCTTGGAGTCGCGCTTTCTCTCCAACGCTATTGTCTATTCATCAAGAAAAATCCAGAAGCTCCCTACAGGAGCTTAAAATTCTCTTCCCTCTTTCAGCACATCACCTCCCATCTCTCTTTTAATCATCTGCATACCCACCCTCGTTAGAAGCACAATCCAGATCTAAAAAGTATCCCTGGTCATTCTAATGGAAGAAAAAGAAGTGACTGACATCGCAAAAGGAAACACACCCACGGCCCCTCAGTCAGGGTGGGCAGGCCCAGCGTCCTTCCCTCCCTCGCAATGGCAGGAGGAACAGGGGAGAGGTGAGGACAGCGGCCCAGGCCAGCCTCCGCCGGGCGGCGCCAGCGCGGGCTGGGCTGGCGTCTGCGAGGCTTGCGTTCCCAGAGGCCTGGGCGGTGGCCTGCTGCTCCTTTGGGCCCATGTTGGTTCTGGCTCTGTGGTGAGCCGCTCACATTGGTGCTTCTGGAGTAACCTGTGCACAGCATGTTGGGCAAAGGAATCGCGCCTCTGCCCCCTGGGGTCCCGAGCCGGGCACAGGGCAGCACCCGGCCCACCAGCCCCACCGCTGCCAGACCTCATCACCCCCTGGGAGAAAAGACTTGAAGAACACTTGTACATTTCTCCCACGGCAGTTTTCCCCCACATTTTCTGGGATACAAACATTGCAGACTGGCTGCCTGGGCAGGAACTAGCCGTGCACACCCAGGAGCGGCAGCGCACACGGACGGAGACCTTACACTCACACCGTGGCTGGCCACGGACAACTTCCCACACGGACGGAGACCTTACACTCATACTGTGGCTGGCCACTGACAACTTCCCACATTTTCTGTCTGTGGGCCCCACAGGCAGCCTACGATACCCTGAGAAAGAGCACAGAAAACTCAAGGACGGAAGAGAAACTGATCTCCAGCTCACCATCTGACTGGGGTCAAAGTGCAGTGTCAACAACCAAATTCACAAAGCATACAGAAAAAAGTGTACATCGTTCCTAAGGAAAAGTAACTAACCAAAACACTCATCCTCAAAGACACGCACTAGCTGGAGTTGATGAACTCAGGGCCTGGTGTTTGCTAGGGAAAGGCTCTGACATTTGAGCCATGCCTCCAGGGCTTTTTTGCTTTCAGTTATTTTAGACGAGGTGCCATGGGTTTGCTGGGCTGGCCTGGGCTGCGATCCTCCGCTGGCGGCCTTTTACCAGCTGGAACCACAGGTGTGCACCGCCACGCCTGGTTGGTTTGTTCAAGCTTAGTCTCACTTCTTGCTCAAGTTGGCCTCAAACTGCAATTAGACCAAGAGTTTAAAGCATGAACTGCGATCAGACAAAGTAGCCAAACCAAAGCTTAATATGGCAGAACTAAAGGAAGATGTGGAGAAAGCCAGCGTACGAGCGATGCGTTCACAAAATAGAACTATCAATACACACACAGAAAACTTAAAGAAGCCAAAAGGAAATTCTGAAGGAGAACATTTTGATAACTTAAATTTAAAAAAATAAATCACCAATGTAATCAAAGGCATTTTGAGCAGGTGAAAGAATCAGCAAGAAACAAGAAGAGGAAGAAAAGGTATCGGGGAAAATGTGTGTGGGGACCAAAGACCTCGAGGGGCCTCATCAAGCACAGCCCGTGTGCTGTAGAGATGAGGGAGGGAAGAGCGGAGATGGAATACACGAGGAGGCAATGGCAGACAGCTTCCCGTGCGTGGTGGAAGGCGCGTACATAAACATCCAAGAAACAACCATGCGTGGAGAGCCCCGAGGCTCGTGGTGGACACATCATAAACAAACTCTTGAAATGCAAAGTCTGCTTTTATAGCAGCAAATGGGAAGTGACAGGAAACACACATACACCTAATAGTTGATTCTTATAGGAAACTCGTGGTCAGAAGGCAGTTGGTTATTATCGTTAAAAAAAAAAAAAACTGAAAGGAAACCAACCAAGAATCCTACATCTAGTCAAACTGCGCTTCAAAATGCAATCAGGAATGGAGACACTCCCAGATAGCATCTGGGGTCACCGTTCCCGCCGGGGCAGCTTGGCCACGCTGCTGTGGGATTCTGGGGTCCTGAAGGTTGAGAGGCAGGAAGGGCAGGTCTGAGCAAAGAGAGATCGCCCCTCCTGAAAGCTGGCTTTGGGGAGGGTCCAGCCGCTCTGCTGGACTCCATGAATGAGGAGAGCCGGTGACAAAAGGGAACCACATTCAGGACGGAGAAGAGAAGAGGGCGCTGAGAACCACAGAAGAGGAACAGGAAGGCAGAGGGGGTTGGGAAACGTGTGCATGGCCCCAGCGGGAGCAGGGAAGCCAAAAGCTCTACCCCAAGGTTACTGAGAATAAAAATAGGTTTTAAAAAGTGCCTGAACTGCCGGGCGCCCGTGGCTCACGCCTGTAATCCTAGCTACTCAGGAGGCTGAGATCTGAGGATCGTAGTTCAAAGCCAGCCCAGGCAAGGAAAGTCCGTGAGACTCTTAGCTCCAATAAACCACCAGAAAACTGGAAATGGTGCTGTGGCTCAAGCGGTAGAGCACTCGCCTTGAGCTGAAGAGCTGAGGGACAGCGCCCAGGCCCGGAGTTCAAGCCCCACGACCGACAAAAAAAAGTCCCTGAGCTGACAAGTTCAGTTTGTGGGGGAGGGGAGCACTGGGGTTTGGATTGAGTCTTGGTGCGCTGCCCGTGAGCCGCTCCTCCGCTCCTGTCTTGTGCGGGCTATTATGGGGACAGGGCCTTGCCTGCTGCCCGAGGACGCCCAGACGGCACCCTGCCTGCTTCGGGCTCGTGCTGTGGCTGGGACGGCAGGCAGGGGTGTGTGGCCACACCCAGCGTCTTCCCCACTGCTATGGAATCCCACGGACGTTCTGCCCCAGGCTTGTCTGGAACTGTGGGCTCCCAACTCCTACACAGCCAGGATGACAGAGACTCACACCACTCAGCTTCCGAACTTTTCTCCCTAAGTTGGCCTCAAACCACAATCCTCTCATCTTAGCCTCGTGGGTAGCTAGGATTTCAGGCATGTGCCACCAGTACCTGTTTCCAATGCCGCCTTTTATGTAATCAAATACATTGAAAGCAGACTCTCAAAATTGTATCTGTATAGGGCAGGATGATTCATAATGGCTAAAATGTATTAGTAATTCAACCGTCAGTTGGCAGACAAACAAATAACCGGAATGTGGTACACAAGCACAAGGGAATAGTATTACGACAACACGCAGGATCCTTCAGGACATTGTGCTGACAGCCATCGCCATTTTAAAGACCAATAGGGTCATTCGTGCGAAGTAGAATAGTCAGATGTCCGCCCAGAATGGGTTTCAAGGCTGAGTGGAGGAGCCAGTGTTTCGGAGTTCCCTTTGGTCTCCCTGGTGGTGAGCCCTTCCCCTCTAGCCGCCGGCTGGGGTCCTGCGCGGTCAGCTCAGCTGGGGACGCTATGGAGTGCGGCTGGCCAGCGCGCGGCCGCTCAGCGTGCGTGCGGGCCGGACACTGGCTCGGGTGTGTGGGTGTCAGCGTGCGTGGGTGCGGGCCGGACACTGGCTCGGGTGTGTGGGTGTCAGCGTGCGTGGGTGCGGGCTGGACACTGGCTCGGTATGTGGGTGTCAGTGTGCGTGGGTGCGGGCCGGAAGCTGGCTCGGGTGTGTGGGTGTCAGCGTGGGTGCGTGCGGGCCGGAAGCTGGCTCGGTGCGTGGGTGTCAGCGTGGGTGCGTGCGGGCCGGACACTGGCTCGGGTGTGTGGGTGTCAGCGTGCGTGGGTGCGGGCCGGAAGCTGGCTCGGTGCGTGGGTGTCAGCGTGCGTGGGTGTGGGCCGGAAGCTGGCTCGGGTGTGTGGGTGTCAGCGTGGGTGCATGCGGGCCGGAAGCTGGCTCGGTGCGTGGATGCTCTGGTTGCCGTGAGCCTCCCGCCACACCCGGCCTTGTTCCCTCAGAGCCTCAAGGTCATTAGAGGGCAGAATTTGAGTTGAGCCTGGCTGGGGGTGTGAGAACCCGCAGTCAGTCCCGCTCATGGTGTGCACAGAGCCCTTTCTGCCATTTCTACAGAGCTGCAACAATTTTGGCCTTTTGTTAGCAATTTCCATCGTTCAAAACAGACTTCTCCAGAAACAGCCCCGGCTCGGCCCCATGAGGCCTCTGCTTCCCCAGACTCCAAATGGATTCCTATGTACACCTAAGAGTGGACGTTGGCAAACCATCTCTTCCAGAAAGCACAGGGGACGCGGCCACCTTGGCCCTGGGAGGGAAGCTCGCTCTGAGTGGCCGGGGCGCTGCCGGGCCGGCCGGGCGCAGACGAGGCACACGCTGGCTGCTGCAGCCCGCCCCGTCCAAAGCCTGTCATCCTGAGATCACCGAGACCGGCGCCCTCCTCACCCCCCCTCCCCTGCCTGACTCCCCCTCCAGCCGCACTGTGCCTGCCTGCATGTGGTCCTGACCCCGGGCTGATTCAAGGAAAGCCAGCGTTTGCCTGACCCCACGCAGGAAAGGCGTGTGTGAACCTCGACCTTTGACTCTCAGGAGGTTAGAATCAATGCTCACTGAATTTTTTAAAAACCTTGTATGTGTACAGAAATTCTTTCGCACCTTTTCCGCGCAGGAAGACATTTCCTGACCTTCTACTTCCCCCTGACCTTTAAGGTCAGTCCCGAGCGGCCTCTCTGGCAAGTGTGAAGCGGTGCGGTGGCAGCTGGGGTTCTGAGAGGAAGGAACAGAAAGTCGGCCCTCTGACTGAGCTGCCGTCCACGTCCTGCGTGGAGTAACACTAAAATGTACTCAGCAAGCAATGACACCGCACATCACGTGTCCTTGCGGGGACCTGTGGGGTTTCTCCAGGCGTCGGCGTGGAGACGGTCATTAGGGGGAGAGTGGGGACCAGGGTGCAGGGAGCCGTGGGGGGGATCCTCACCCGTCCATCCGGGAGGGTGCAGGGCAGCCTGCCTGGCCACCCCATGGCTCTCTGCTGTCCTCTACCTGCCGCCACCTCCACAGGGGAGGCCTGGTTTGTGTGTGAGCGCGACGTCTGCTCTCCTGTGTGCATGAATGCGTGCGTGTGTGTACATGCATGCACGTGTGTATTGCAGGCGTGCCTGTGTGTGCGTGTACATGCATGTGTGTATGTGCAGGTGTGCGCGTGTACGTGTGCGTGTGCATGTGCAGGCGTGTGTGTGTGTGTGCGTGTGCAGGTGTGTGTGTGCATGTGCAGGTGTGTGCGCATGTGCAGGTGTGTGTGTACATGTGCAGGTGTGTGTGTGTGCAGGCGTGTGTGTGCATGTGTGTGCGTGTGTGTGTGTGTGCAGGTGTGCGTGTGCATGTGCAGGCATGTGTGTGCGTGTGTGTGTGCATGTGCAGGCGTGTGTGTGTGTGCAGGTGTGTGTGCAGGTGTGTGTGTGCATGTGCAGGTGTGTGTGCATGTGCAGGTGTGTGTGTACGTGTGTGTGTACGTGTGTGTGCATATGGGTGTGTGTGCATGTGCAGGTGTGTGTACATGTGTGTGCATGTGCAGGCATGTGTGTGCATGTGCAGGCGTGTGTGTGCATGTGCAGGTGTGTGTGCATGTGCAGGCATGTGTGTGTGCATGTTCAGGCGTGTGTGTACGTGTGTGTACATGTGCGTGTGTGCGTGTGCAGACGGGTGTGTGTGCATGTGCAGGCGCGTGTGTGTGCGTGTGTGCATGTGCAGGCGTGTGTGCATGTGCAGGTGTGTGTGTGTGTGTGTAGGCGTGTGTGTGCAGACGTGTGTATGTACATGTGCAGGTGTGTGCGTGTGGGCGTGTGCAGACAGGTGTGTGGGAAACGCGTCTAGCTCCAGCTGTCCTGCACCCCTTCGGCAGCTTCCCACCTCACTTCGTAAACAATGTTAAGCTCACAACTTGTACTGTTTGAGAAAGAACCCACTTGTCTGCATGCTTTCAGGGAAGCTAAGCAGGTCACTGACAGCTTTCCACATTTTCTGTCTGTGGGCCCCATGGAACACCACGGAGACACGTGCCCGGGATGTTTGGTAGGTTACCATCCCAATACCAGCAGCCCCAAGATGGAGCCTTCCTGTCGCCGGAGCCTGCCCCGCTTCTAGCTGAAACTAACCGTGAGCCAACTCAGAGCAAAGGAGACTCGTGCATTTACTTCCAGCCATCCAAACAACTCAGACTAACCATGAGCCGCCTGGAGCCGCTGCTTCCCGATCTTCGTTCACTGTGTGGACGCCGAGGGGCCCAGCTCTTCCTGTGCCCAGACCACCGGCCCTAAGAAGCCACACAGGGCGCTCACGGGGCTTACATGTGTTCCTACGGTGGCCAGCACACAGGTGGATAAGGCCTGCATTCTCAGCAGGCGACCCGCGCACTCGCAAGAAGGGGGTGCCCACGGGGGACTCAAACCCGACCCACCTGCCTCCTCCAGCCAGGCCTCCCTCAGGGCTGTCTCCACAGGACCAGTGACCCTGGGCACCATGCTGCTCCGATCTCACCTACTGCCAACAAGATGACGGGGGGATGCATCCTGTGTGTACACTTGCTTTCTGAGTTCCTTTTGTGATGTGTTGAGCTGGTTTCCTGAGGCCGCCAAAACCAAGTAACACAACGGAGTGTCGTGAAAGTACAGTGCACACTGCTTGGACTTCTGAACCCGAAGCCGGGCTCCCCAGAGACGGCCCTTCTCGTGGCCCTGCAGCTTCTGCGGTGCTGACGCTGGGTCTGGACCTGCGGAGCCTCCTGCGCTCATGGCCTGCACCCCACTCTGCCCGACACCCTCCGTCAGCGGCACTCGAACGCGCTCTTCAGAGACTGGCCGAAGAAGGCCGTTCCTCTCTCCATATAGCATTGCGTCACAGCGCCCAAGTCCACCCACAATGCTAACAGCAATATCCATCTCGCACACAAAACTCACTGGACATTTGGTCTAAAAGAAATCTGTAAAAACCGCACCTGATATGGGATCACATGGAGCACTAATCCTGGAGGTGCTTCTACCCCAGCCCTCGACACACGTGTGTCAAATACTGAGCACTAATCCTGGAGGTGCTTCTACCCCGGCCCTCGACACACGTGTGTCAAATACTGAGCACTAATCCTGGAGGTGCTTCTACCCCAGCCCTCGACACACGTGTGTCAAATACTGAGCACTAATCCTGGAGGTGCTTCTACCCCAGCCTTCGACACACGTGTGTCAAATACTGAGCACTAATCCTGGAGGTGCTTCTACCCCAGCCCACCACACACGTGTGTCAAATACTGAGCACTAATCCTGGAGGTGCTTCTACCCCAGCCCACCACATACGTGTGTCAAATACTGAGCACTAATGCTGGAAGTGCTTCTACCCCAGCCCACCACACACGTGTGTCAAATACTGAGAAGGATTTTGTCCTCCAGGCACCATTGTGGCTAGTGCCTGGCAGTGTCTTCAGGACCCAGTGAATCATAAATACTTATCAGCTTCTTGTTACTGAGTACCACACCGTCCCCGGGAATGCACTGGCAATTACAGTAATGAAATAGCCCTGATAGGTGAGGCTCACACCTCACAGTGTGTGGGAGCAGGGCCGCCTTACAGGCCCTGTGTGTTTAAGGTGGCCCACTAAACCAATTATCATTAGGAACAGTGTTTAAATGCCAGCTAGATTAACCACAGAAGAGCAAAGACAGAGTGTTTGTTAGTGTAACTGGGAGTCACTGGAGCTCTCTGGCTCGGCGGTGGACGCGCGGCTAACGCTGGGGCTGGAGTGCGTGGCGGGGGTTCCCACAAGCCGCTGCGGCGTGGGAGAGCCGGCCTGCTGAGAGGGGAGGGGCAGGCCCACGGACATCCTGCCACCGGGACGCGTGGGCCGTGTGGGGTGTACCAAGGCAACCACTCAGGGAAGGCAGAAATCTCTCCATCTTGCAGGGCCTGCCTCGGGCCCTGCTGGAGCCCAGGCGAGGAGAGAGCAGACTCCTCAGCAGCGAGCTGAGCTGGGCAGGCTGGCGGCGCGGGTCGCCTGCAGAGCTCTGCGGTTGCCAGAATGCCACAGCGATACTTTTACCACACAAATGCCCTGGAACCCCATTCAAGCGGGGCGGGGCGGGGGGTCACACACCACACCCTCACGATGGCGTTTGGCTGTAAGAAAGCCATCCGGTGCGGCCGATGCAGGGCCCCACCCACTGGGCCCGAGGAAACTCCTTCCCAAGCGGGTTTCCCCACACACAGGGGCCTTGGTGACACTGCCATGTGCCTGAGCTGGGTGGACACCCGAGGCGTGCCCGTGGAAGGTGGAGGGGAACTGCCCTGAGAGAAGGAAGGTTTCACCACAGCCAGAGACCACACGTTGTTAGATTTGCATCTACAGCACTTCGTTCTGACAAATAAAAGGCAAGGAAGCTAAATGCAGCTCACACATGGCAGGAAGTGCTCTGGACACAGCTACAAAGCACACATCTGTAACAGAGCACTCAGAGTTAGGAGGTAATGCACTGGTACTGATTCTTCTGAATATGACAAAAAACATCAGCAGGTATGGTAGCACACACTTATAACCCCAGCTTCTCAGTAGGGATTCTACTCAGGAGGAGGAAGATAATAGCAAGACCCTGCCTCAAAAGCAAACGCAAACAAAAGGGCTGGAGGCATAGCTCAAGTGGTGGAGGACCTGTCTGTCTAGCAAGCGTAAAGCTGTGGATTCAACCCAGTAACATACAGAGACACACACACACACACGCACACACACAGTCCAATAACTATACCTCAACTTCTAAAACAGGAATGTTGATATCAGTTACTTGAGATATTTTTACTTAGATGTTAAAAATAAGGATAGAGCCGGGTATGAGTGGCTCACACCTGTAATCCCAGCTACTCAGGAGGCTGAGATCTGAGGATCACGGTTCAAAGCCAGCCCAGGCAGGAAAGTCTGTGAGACTCTTATGTCTAATTAACCAAAAAATTAGCTAGGGGTGGAGCCGTGGCTCAGATGATGGAGTGCTAGCAAAACTCTAGGACAGCTCCCAGGCTCTGAGTTCAAGCCCTAGGACCAGAACTAAAAATAAAATCGAATGAAATAAAGTAAGTCTGGGCCTCTCCCACAGCCTCTGGTGAGGACGGTCTCCTGTGCGCACGGTCCTGCTTGTCTCTGTGGTGCCCACTTGCTGATGTAGGCCACACCGCCCGGCCCCGGAAGGGTCCTGGCGCTCTTGAGCATTGTACTCACGTACAAAGTTATCAATCTCAGCTGGGAACTGGCAGCCATGCTTTCTCTCTGAGCGATTCTTTGAGAAAAATACAAGGTAAAAGATAAAAACAACTTGGTTTTGTTTCTAAAGAACTTCCTGTGCTCGACCAGAAATCTCCTCATTACCTTACTCATGTAACTGTAACCCCTCTGTACGGGTGTATTTACAATAAAATGTAAAAGAACTTTGTGCACGCATTACTCCGTGAGAAGTATTCCGTCCAGCTGTCTCTCAGACACCGATCATCATGTGGTCAGTGGGGAAAACCCCAACTTTAAAACTGCTGTATTAGTCCACACATTCCACTCCTAAGACAGGAGCATTGTCTAGAACCCAGCAAGGCCCTCCCTGGTGGAACACCAACTTGGACAGACACCGGGGCTACACATGGGCCAGAAAACCAAGACCTTTTCCCTCCCCACAGGCCTCCCCTCTAGGGGGTGCTTGCCCCGCCAGGATCACTCAACAGCCCGCCCTTTGCCTTGCCAGCAGCCACGGCTTCACCTGCTCCCTGGTTTTCCTGTGTGCTGCTCCACACGATGTCTTCTGACCAACCCATCGCCCAGCTGAAGTCACTCGCAGACATCTGGACACCTCCACGCCTGGTCGTTCAGCGCGTCAGTCAGGGTGTTCCCCGGGCCTCGTTAGTGCTGCAATGTCCCCCAAATTGAATGAATTATCCCATCAATAGTATACAATTTGCCGTCTGCATTCCAGTCTCTCCAGTTGTCTCCAGAACGTTGTGGCTTTAAACAGAACCCCAGGTCAAACCGTGGCTTGCGTGTGTGACCGTGACTGTCGGGTCCATTGAGTGTCAGACACAGCTCTCCCCAGCTTCTCCTGGGAGGCGCAGTGCGCAGGCCGACGCGCGTGAATCTCCCACCTGTCTCCTCGTGTTAGGGTACAGACTGGGCAAGAACCCTGCGTAGGTGGCGTGCATTCCCTCTGCCCCACGCTAGGGGGCAGCGCCGAGATGGCACAGAGCCACAGAGCCACGGATGACGGTGCTGCCCGGAGGGCTGTGAGGAGCCCCGGGACGGGGTGCTGTGTGAGAACTGACAGAATCTTCTGTTCACAGCCATGGTCCACGGCCCCTGTCCACGGCCCCGTGGGCCATGGCTCCAGCCCATCTCCTGTGGGGCCTATGCACCTGGTTGCACAAAGCCCCGCTTCTAGTGGCCCCGATACTTCAGCCCCCCTCCTGGTGGGCCTGCCACGTGCTGCCAGCGCCCGGCCCCCGTGCCTGGCTGCCGCCTCTCACCCTGCTCCCCCCACCGCAGGCCTCCACTCCTGAGAGCTCGTCCTGACCCCTCTACCTCACCTCAGGTGGGTCTATGCCTGGCCTGGGGTTCACACAGCACCTGACCAGCCAGGGCTGGAACCAGTCCCGCCTGTAGGCTGTCACGGGAGTTGGCAGGGAGTAGGTGTGGAGGGCTGGCTTTGGGGAGCGAGGGAGAAGGGCCTCGTGAAAAGCCGCTGGCCTTCTGGCCGGACACCATCTGAAGTCAGCGTTCGTGAGTCTGCGTTACTCCAGGAGGAGCTCCCGACATTGCAGCTCGTGCGTAACCTTGCAGGTATTTACCTATCACAGCAAAGCACTTTTCTCTCGATACTGGCTGTAGGAAGCAGGGCTCATTAAATTTTAAACTACATTTTCCTTAAGAGTACATTGTGTTCCTTCCAAAAGGTAATTGACCCATGAAGGACCTCAGTTATGTTATGAATGATAGCCAATTATTATATAAAAATTATACTCTTACTAGTTCAGGAACACTACCTGCAATCAATTCTCCTGACCTAAGTTTTATGCAATGGGGAATCACTAAGAATTGCTCACAGATGAATTTATAAGCACAACATAAATGAGCACTTTATCCCAGGAAGCTAAAAGGACAGGAGTCAGTCATAGGTGGGTGGCTGTTGATATGTGGGCACAGATTCAGGGTGACTGTATTTGTGCTCAAAGGCCAGCAAAGTTGGGACAGGAGGTTAAATGCACTCATTAAAAGAAAACAATAAGACAGGAGCCATGGTTCAACAGTAAAACACCTGACTACCATGGGCTGGGAAGGTGGCTCAGTGGTAGAGCGCTTGCCTTGCATGCATGAGGCCCTGGGTTCGATTCCTCAGCACCACATAAGAAAAAAGAAAAAAGCCGGAAGTGGTGCTGTGGCTCAAGTGGTAGAGCGCTAGCCTTGAACTGAAGAGCTGAGGGACAGCGCCCAGGCCAAGAGTTCAGGCCCCACAACCGGACCCCCCCCCAAAAAAAAAAAACCACCTGACTACCAAGTACAAGACTCTGCCGGGAGCTCGTGGCTCACGCCTGCCATCCCAGCTACTCAGGAAGCTGAGATCTGAGGATCGCGGTTCAAAGCCAGCCTGGGGAGGAAAGTCTGTGAAACTCATCCCCAATAAACCACCAGAAAACTGGAAGTGGCGCTGTGGCTCAAGTGGTAGAGCGCTCGCCTTGAGTGAGGAACTCAGGAACTGTGCCCAGGCCCAGAGTTCAAGCCCCATGACCAACTAAAAAAAAACAGACTCTGAGTTCAAGCCCCAGTCTTTCATAAATAAATAAATAACAATATAAATGCTAAATAAATTAGACAAATTTGAGGTGC